AACGCGTTGGAACCTTTGGACGAGAATCTTCCTCTGGAGAGCCGGCGCTAGCTCGACTAGTTCGAGCGGGTCGAGCCCGCCCGGACTGAGCAGGGCAAGATCTACGAGGCGGCGAAGATCTAGGACGGATTACTCATGGATCGTTCATTATCTCCGCAGCAAAATTTCCATCGTCTTCACCTCTAATCTCCCTCTCCGAGTCGACGACCAAAGCCTCTGAGCTAAGTCAAGACCGGCCGAATCCCTTAACACTTCCCGATGTTCTTGGCCAAAATCGTCCAGTGGCTCACCAATTGTTTCGTCCCGAGCAGGACTCGATGCGATAGCAACCCCTTTCCCTTTTTCCTCACGCGTCAACCTCTTTCGCGGGCACATCTTACCGACAGAAAACTTATATATCATACAACAGCCTAGAGAAAGAAAGTAGAGAGAAGGGAGAGAGGAAATACCAGCGAAAACGGAGAGGTGGTGAGAATGAAGAGGAGAGGAGTATTTATAGACAAAGGAAGGGGTGCAACTCCCGGAGTCATTAATTAGGTCTAGTATGGCCTAGTTGGGCCTCTAGTCTATTCGCGACTGTCCATATACCGACTTAAATGGGCCTCGACTCCTGAAAGACCGTTTGCCTCCTCATAACTATTCACACTTCCCTTCGTGCAAAAGAAAAGCTGAGAACCTTCCGATCTAATGACTCGGTAAGCACACTGAAGTCAAGCTCCGAGCTAACAACTCAGTAAACGCACAGAGGTCAAGCTCCGAGCTAATAGCTTGGTAAGCACACTGAAGTCAAGCTCCGAGCTAACGGCTCGGTAAGCACACTGAAGTCAAGCTCCGAGCTAACGACTCGGTAAGCACATTGAAGTCAAGCTCCGAGCTAACGATTCGATAAACACATTGAATTTAAACTCCAAGCTAACGAATGTGACGAATTACCGCCCGCGGAAGTATCGAAGCTCATTGATCGAACCCATTATTCAAACGGACCAGATAGACAAGACCTGTCCCGACTCGGATCATAACTCAGGAACGGGTCTGGGGGGCTTATTGTTGGTGGTGGAATACTCCCCTTTACAAGGTCCACTGAATAATGGACGTGGCCCATACGAGCTCCGGCCCAGCGAGGTAGCATTTCGCTGGTTAACGACTTATCATGTTTAACTCGGATAACCGTTAACGACGTTTAGGAGGGACACTTTTCTTGACGGGCCATCTAGGGCCCATTCGGTGAAAGCTCTCCACGCAAGTGACCAGCTCGTTAGGTCAAGACGAAGAGCACTATAAAAGGAGGAGAAAGTGCAACAAGGAAGGGATCCTAAATCACTATTACTCATAAGATGGCTAGAATTAAGGTTTTCACTCTTGTACTTTCTTTCCGACTTGTACGGCACGGATGAGCTCTTCGAGAGCCTCCGCCTCGCCTCTCCTTTCCTCATTTGTAACCGAACTCTTTCATTAATAAAACCACTCTTCAACTCTAAATATTAAACAACGTCTTTAAAATAACCCACAGACTAGTCCAGTCACTCATTCACTGAAAAGACCGAACTCGGTTCGAACAGTCTTGCGGTTTCGTATAAAGTGAGACTCTTTTTCCAATCTCATGTCTTTAAAATTAATTATCAATATCGCCAATCGATACAGGAGGACGAGGTCGAGAGAGAGAATAACGGCCATCCGCTCATCGCCGACGAAAAAAATGTGGCCGTCTAATATAGGCAAAGAAGATCCGATTAGAGAAGAATCTTAAAGGATGAGGAAGAAGAGAAAGGCTACAGCAACGAGCCTCGATGAGGTAGATCAGACTGTTTACGCCTCGTTTTGAACCACCGCTAACTCATTATCTCAGCTTTACACTCAGTCCATGAACCACCAGAAACTATCTTTCCAAGCCGGTGAACGCCATGGTCTGGTATGTATGTAACCCTTTTTATTCGATTTTGAAAGCTTAGTTTTCTTTTCCTTTCTAGTTTATGGATTCAAGTTTTGATTTTTAGACAAGGTTGTTGGTTTTCCCACTTCTGTCTAATCTATTAAATTCTGTTATGAGTTGTGTATGTTGCATTGGTCTTTTGGTGTTTCATGTAATTGAAGATGAGAATTTCATGTTTTGATTTCTAACCAAAGTTGTTAGTTTTTGTCTAATTTTGTCTAGTATTGTTTGCATTATTAAGATTCTTGGTGTTTCATGTACGACCTGTGTGTTAGTTAATTTTCCTCAAGATAGTTTAGGTGTCTAGGATCTTCTTGATTCCAGTTGTGACTCTGGAATAGCTTCTCTCCCTCTTTTGTAGTTCTTCATCTGAGTTCATGTCGGCAGCCACAGATTTCTTCTTATGGACTTGTGTCCGTACATAACGATGTCCTTTTTAGTTCCATCTTTTTGAGGGCCTGTTTGTTTCATCATCCAGATGACTTATCTGGATGGAGATGAGAGTTTCATTTGTTTAGACACTAAAAGTACAACTCATCTAGATGGATCATCCGAATGACTTTGAAATTTTAGGCTTAATTGTAAGGTCCATCTGGATGGACCAATTTGAACCATCTGGATGGAGATGGTTCTTCCAAAATTGTATAATTTCTATTATACCTTTTTATATAATTCATAAATTACAAACCTAAACATACTATTATTTTGTAACTTATATGACAAAACCACATTTCCTCAAATGACAAAACCACATTTCCTCAAATGAAAAAACCACATTTTCCGCCAAAACTGCAAAAACACGTTTTCCCATAAAAACCGCAAAATGCGTTTTCCCAAAAAACGCGTTTTTACGGTTTTAGCAAAACACGCGTTTTAGCAAAAAACACGTTTTGGCAGAAAACCGCAAAAACGCGTTTTTCCGCCAAAACGCGTTTTTTTTGCTAAAACCGTAAAAACGCGTTTTCCGGCCAAAACGCGTTTTCCCGTAAAAACCGCAAAACGCGTGCAAAAACCACAAACAAGCATTTTTCTGCCAAAACACGTTTTTTTGCAAAAATCGTAAAAATGTGTTTTCCGGCCAAAATGTGTTTTCCCGTAAAAATCGCAAAACGCGTTTTCCCGCAAAAACCACAAAACGTGATTTTTCCGCCAAAACGCGTTTTTTGCTAAAACCGTAAAACCGCGTTTTCCAGCCAAAACGTGTTTTCCCATAGAAATCGCAAAACGCGTTTTCTCGCAAAAACCGTAAAATGCGTTTTTCCGCCAAAAACGGAAAACGTGTTTTTCCGCCAAAACCGCAAAAATACGTTTTCCGCAAAAACGCGTTTTTTGCTAAAATCACAAAAACGTGTTTTCCCGCCAAAACGCGTTTTCTCGCAAAAATGCGTTTTCCCGTCAAAACGCATTTTTCCGCTAAAATCGCAAAAACGTGTTCCCCGCTATAACCACAAAAACACATTTTCCAACCAAAACCGCAAAATGTGTTTTCTTGCCAAAACTGCAAAACCCCCATTATTTTTCTTCGCAAAAATCTGTTTTTTCCGCCAAATCCGCAAAAACGCATTTTCGCGTCAAAATTATAAAAGTTAATATATTTAAAATTAATATCATACATATGACTAAATCAAAACAAAGGTACTTTAGTAATTTCTTTACCAAACTCATCTAGATGGAGAAGAAAAACAGAGAAACAAACATGAGTCCATCTAGATGCATCATCTTGATGGACAAACAAACAATCTCAAAAATGTGAATGGACCATCTAGATGAATCATCTAGATGGATTAGCTGGATGGAGATGATAGATGGTGAAACAAACTAGCACCACAGGTTCTGGTGAAACAAACATCTCCTATCCACGAAACCATAGCCAAAGAAGTGAAAGCATCTTTCTGTTCTTGTTTCATAATTGGTAATAAGACTGTTATATGCTTGCGTCTGTTTCATGAATCAAAATAACACTGTTCTGCCTTTCCTTGAAATTCTACATGATATTGTGATGTGAAGCATATATTTGGATTATGACATACTGCCTGAGATGACTTAGTATGGTTAGATAGAAGTGTATAGATTAGAATATGGGACTTTTGCTTTGCTAGTTTATGCTTCCTTAATCCTGAGTTACAGGAGTTCTGTGGCAGATCCAAGTCAGAAACAATATAGATACACGCTGAACGTTCTGCTCCTCTTTCATCTTTCAGGAAAAATTATACCAATGGATATGGAGACAACAAGAAGGAGGGTCAAGAGCTAGGTTGCATGGAATCGGAAACGGATACGTGGAAACGAAACGATTCGAAATGTAGAAACATGATTTAAAAAAAAAATAGAAATGAAAACGTTTCAGAAACGTCTAGAATATATATATAATATATATATATATATATATATATATATATATATATATATATATATATATATATATATATATATATATATATGTGTGTGTGTGTATATATGTATGATTAATCAGTATGTAAGTTTTTTTCTTTTTTTTTTATTTATCTAAGAGAAAAAATTAAGTAATAAGTATTTTTTTGTATATTTCATTAAATTATAATAAATAACTAAAAAAGTAAGATATGTTATCATTCGATAAAACTATGGAGCGACTTCATTCCAAATAAAATCATCATACTAAAATGATAACAAGTTTCAAAACATAATATTAAAATATAAAATAATAAACATTTAATCACTAATATCAAATGCTAAATAGTTATTTTGCGTTTCTAATTAAAATCGCAAGTTTCCAAATTAGAATTACGAGTTTCCAAATCAGAAACACAAGTTTCCATGGTGTTTCCAAAATGAAGTTTTCAAGAAACGTGTTTCCAAAGAGTTTTCTCGAGTTTCCAAGAAATTCCGATTCCGAATTGTTTCCGAAACAGGAAACGGACCTTGAACGGAGTTTCCATGCATCCTAGGTCAAGAGTGACATCTATGGATATAATCAATTACATTCAGGTTGGTATGATATATATATATATATATATATATATATATATACATAGAGTGCTGCACAGAGGAGCCCCCAGTTTCCCCAAGAGCGCCACCAACTCAACCAGCAATGCATGTCACGAATACCGGGCTCATGGCGTCTTTAGAGACGTCTTGCCCAACAGCTGTTCCAGTGGTTCGGTCGGAGCAATGCGATAACCAGGCGAAGAACTCGGTTTTCTCAAACGCCCTTTCAAGTCCAACACGCCGTAGCCTTCAAAACTACCAAATTCCGCAGGGAGGCTATATATCTGGCGGAACCAGAAGCAATGAACTGAACAGGGGATCTAACTCTCCAGGTTCTTTTGATTCTTCAATGGACATGCATGCAGACTAATGACTATGATATAATACACTCTCGTTTGATGATGTTTGCTCTATACAAAACTGGTTTGATTTTTCATAATGTATCAATAGGTTCTTATCTCTGATTGTGGTTTGCTGGTATATTTGTTAGGGTTTCTGATGGTCACCATGTAAATCCTTGTGTCTGATTTTTACCACTCGTTCAACTCTTTACTGTTCATGTTTCAAACTATCCGAAGATTATCTAGCAAATCGTTCTGGTGATTTTTACCACTCGTTAAGTGCAGTAGAAATTATTGTCAAGTAGATAAATAGATGAAAATGTAGTATAAAATAAATGACCGTCGATAATGTTGGTAAAGCAAAATGGTTTCTTTTGTCTACTGATTTCTTCAAACGTAAAGCACCAAGATGCAATTGCGATAAAATAAATAAATCACATATAAGACATGATTCTTGATATGTCAATCCCTTATATATTAATTATGGAGCATTATAACATTTTTTAGTAGTCACGTGTCACAGTGAGAATGATTTTCAGATTTTTTAGACAAATATATTGGTACAACTAAACATATGTTATACTTTTATTAAACTAACAATCATATTTAATTAGTAATGTACAAATAAATAAAAATTATAGAATTACCTAATACTGGATTTTGTCCCGCGCGCTCGTATGGGTGTATTTTTCAAAAATATATTGTTATTTATTTTTCATATCAATATTTTATATACATGTCATCATATAACTAATAGTATTTTATAGGAAACATAATATAAATTATTGATGCGTTTGCGGGTCGACCCGCTCTACTGCGAATTGAATCAATTTTGATACAAAAATTTGACACGCAAGTGGGAAACATTATACATGAACCTGTCTTGTTTAAATTAGTGGATAAATATTTAATATTTTTATCACAAATGTATTTCACAAAATGTATCAAATCAGTGAAACTTTACTTGACGTATATATATATTTCAAAGTGCGGATATTATTTTCTTATGAAAATCAAAATAGTATAACTAGTTATGTTTATTTTAAAAGATTTAAATCTGAAATTAGCTATAATTAATCTTTTTAATTTTGTTAAATATATTTTCTAAATTAAATGTTATTTAAATTAAAGAATAAGAAGGTATATATTTAAATTAAATGTTATTTAATAGGTTAATGCGGATATATAACTAACTTCCTAAACGTGAAGTATAATTATTTTCTTATTAAATATAAGATATCGAGATATCAGTAACTTCCTAAAGCATATATACAAGTGAAATATCATATAATATCGTAATTAGACTAATTAGACATATAATATTACATTAATAGTGTGAGGTCTAACTTAAAAATCTTACCTAGAAGATTTCACTGTAAAAATTAAATACATTAAATTATGAGTGAAGATATATTTGATAAAAATATAAATATTTGACCAATAAACATTGGTTCTTGTTTATTTGTTGTTTACGTCCTACTACTAATAATTTTTAGTTCGCCAAAAAAAAAAGATAAAGGTTTAGTTCACACGAAAAAAACTAAAAAACAAAGATGATCAAATCATATGTTTCAAAAGAGGAATCATTATGATAGTTCATCTGCACATAAAATAAAACCATAATCAGTAAACAAAAAAATATGTATATATACTCCCTCCGTTTCATAATAAGTGTCGTTGTAGAGAAAATTTTTCGTCACAAAATAAGTGTCGTTTTCGGTTTTTAAGGCAAAATTTATTAATTTTATTATGTAATTTATTTTTCTATTAGTTGAAATATGGTTAGGTGTATGGATAATTGTGTTTTTATATAGAAAATATGCAAAATTAATTGTTTCCTTAATCCGTGTGCACGAACTTAGAGTGACACTTATTTTGAAACAGAGGGAGTATAAAGTTAACATTCTAAAATAAGATAAATTTACTATATCGAAAACATAAAAAATAACATCATAAAAGTTCAGTGCAAATTATTTAAGTAAAGAAACACTGTTATTCGTAGTCATGTCGGAAAGAATTTGAATTTTTGTTGATGGTCGATTATATGAGTCTTGGCTTGGATATGTATAGGACTTATTCTTGGGTTCACACCCTAGGGTGAACCTCTAGGTTCACCATCCAATAGAATTGCATCATTTTATATTTGATATCTTTTTAAAAAGGAAACAAAATCTTATTGAGTTATATTGTGTGTTTTAAATATAAAAATACAAAAATACAAAAATAATAAAAAATAATAATAATTAAGAAAAACGAAAATAATTATTTAAAAAAAATATTTTAACATTAAACTCTAAAGTCTGATCTTAGGTAAATAACAAATCTTTGGATAAATCTATAGAAATTTAGTGTTTATGATTTACCCAAGGGTTTAGGGTTTAGGATTGGAGTTTAGGGTTTAGTGTTTATGATTTATCCAAGGGTTTAGAGTTTAGGATTAGAGTTTAGGATTAGAGTTTAGGGTTTAGTGTTTATGATTCACCCAAGGGTTTAGGGTTAGAGTTTAGGGTTTAGTGTTTATGATTCACCCAAGGGTTTAAGGTTTAGGATTAGAGTTTAGGGTTTAGTGTTTTAGTGAAAAGAATTTTTTTTAAAAGATTTTTTATAAAATTTACCAAAGATTTATGATTTACCAAGAGGTTTAGGGTTTAGGATTAGAGTTTAGGGTTTAGTGTTAAAATATTTTTTTTAAAGAATTATTTTCGTTTTTCTTATTATTATTATTTATTTATTTTTGTATTTTTATTTTTAAAAACATAATATAACTTAACAAGATTTTGTTTACTTTTTTAAAAGATATCAAATATGAAATGAAGCAATCCTATTGGAGGGTGGATTTAGAGGTTCACCCTAGGGGGTGAACCCAAGAATAACTCTATTTATAGATGTATAGAGATTTGTAGGGTTTTCTATATAGTATATTGCATAGAATCCAGCTAATTAATATTTACATATATTTAATATAAGATATTACTAATCGGTTTTAACAGTTACTTATATTGTAGGTAAGTATCTATTGAAAAAGAGTCGGCGGATCAAATCATTTAAATAGAGCATATCTAAAATTTAGTTGTTATGGAATATGTAGATATTGTACGTGATTCTGTTTCAGAATATCTAGGAAACCATAATAGAAATTCACGGCAGCAATAAATATGTGATCTTGATGTCCAAGTTTTAAAATATAGGCGTATAATATACCTTTATTAGATATCCCACTAACAGTAATATTATATCTTAATTAGACTATCTTATTATATAAAACTTGGTTCTTCAAAGTTATTAATTAACACGATGGCGACACATGTCAGTTATATATCTAAAATTGTGACATGTGTTAATACTAATTTTCTTTTTGTAAAATCATTAAAAAAAAGATAATTGTAAACAGTATTTGATAATAATTATCTTTTTTTTATATAAATCTCTTCAAATTTCAAACCAAAAATTGTAAAAGAGTGTTTAATGTTATTTTTCTCATATTCAAATCATGATTAAAAAAACCATAAACCAAAAAAGAACTAAGATTAACACAACTTTTTGAAAAACAAAATATAATTTTCATTTTTAAAAATCTTATACCAAAATTGATCTGTACAAATAAATTATTAAATACTAATTTCCCTTCTCCAAAAATATAAAAAAAATAATTTAAAAATAAATTTGAAAGTAATTATCCTTTTAAAAATATTAAACCAAAAAAATTGTAAAAAAGTGTTTACTGTTAATTTTCTTTTATTAAAATCCTAAATTAAAGACAATAACCCAAAAAAACTATACTTAATCATATATTAACAATTTTTTTTGAAAACAAAGTAATAGTAATTTCCGTTTTTTCGAATCATATATAAAAAAAAATTGTAAGAAAAAAATTTTTAATACTAAATTTCCTTTTCTAAAATCATAAAGAAAAGATTAATATAAAAGAAATTTGATAGTTAATTATCCTTTAAAAATTTTAAACCAGAAAGTTTTTAAAAAGTGTTTAACATTAACTTTTATTTATATAATAAGATATTCATAATTTTATATCAATTGTTTTGTATCAATTTGGTTGTCGGACATTGTATATTTCTATCAATTGCTTGGGTATTTATAATGAATTTTTCTTGAAATAACATTTTTGTATAACACGATTTTGTTACAAATGTAATCAGATATATAAATAATATGGAGTAAATAGATGTTCGTAATCAGACACCACATGTCCTCTGAAAAGTTATTCTAACTTTATTGTTATGAAGATATATTTTTCAATTCCAGTACTATTAATGATTTTCTAACTATAAAATAAATCTCACATAACTTCTGAAAAAAATCCTAAATCTATGATTAAATTATTTATTATTTTTATGGTTTTTATTAAATTAAAACATCAAACAAAACCCGCTGCAACGCACGGGCCTTATCTAGTAGATTAATAATATGCGGTCCAACTTAAAAATTCACCTAAAATAAGTTGTAATGTTTATGTTTTAATAAGATAGATGATTAACCTATATATCATAATTAATTATTATAATTAATAAAGATTTGACACAATTTTTTATCCTCTTTACTTTTCATTTAATTTTATATTATTAAAAGAAAACATATAAAAAATTATATTTTTTCTTATATATTATATTTAAACTTTTTTAGAACGACCATAAATTACTATAAATATTAAAAATATCAATTGAAAATTTTGTGATCAATAGTAATGTTTTTTAGTTCAGCCAATCATTTTTAATGGGTCTTAAACAATTTTAACGATCAACTAAACAGATCACGTACATAGTAGAGTTTTTTTGGTTTAAAAATTGTTGCACACCCAAAATCAATATGAACCATTATTCCTTTCGTTTAAAATTTTGTTACAATAAAAATTATAGGGTTGGGAAAAAACTAAATCCAAATAAACTGAACCAAATCTAGTCCAAAAAGTAGTACATATCTTTAACCAAAAGTGGTTAGATATCTAAACGGATTCAAATTTTTTATATCTAAAGAACCGAAACTAAATCGAAATATTTCAGGTATCCGAATA